ATATATCCCTTCACTCGCAGGGAGTATGATGATAATTTCCCATGTTCGTGTGCTTTTCATTCTCACCTAGTCAACTGGATGATATTACTTTGGGATTTGAAATCGAAGATGATCAGTAGAGACTTCCAGTGCTGCATATCTCCTCGTCCCATGTCAGCGGGGCAGTGCACGTCCAATCCAACCAATCAGTGTAATTTGATCGAGCGGGAGCACATGCCATCACGCTAGTTCCCAATCGGGAAAAGGCTCACCGGGACCGTACGCCGCATCCGTGCAAGCAGGGCGGCAGCACCACATTGGGGGCGGTCAAAGTCAGCCCCAGGGTCGCATCAGCCTAGCCCAGTCGAAGCCCATCCATCTGCCGAACTGCCCAATGTCGCCCTCTCCATTGGCCATCTTCATCTTCTGCAGGATGCGGAGAGGCCGCGGGCGCCATGGATAGCTCAGCTTGCAGCCTTGACCTACCGTTGGCAGCTGAAGGCGACCGCTGCTTCGACGGTAGCTAGTGGAGCACCTACATACATACACAGTAGATGCATCAGCCGTAGCCATGGGGCCGGGACAACTGCTGCTATCAGCAAGGACGACTCCGCATGGCTTTTTGTATGTATATAAGAAGGAGCAAGGCGGAGTGCATTGTACCCATTATCGATTGACCTTCCAAGCCTTCACCCTTTGCTTGCGAGCGTAGCTTTCCCCCCACACTTGTTTTTTTTTCTTTTGCTGTTATCGCAGCTACCAGCTTGGTTTGGCAAGTTGCCTAGTACAGCATATATTGCCAGCCTTCCGGGCTTGAGAGTCGACGGCTAGTCTTGCTGCCATCTTTGTCGGCCTCGACGCTACTTATAACACGTATGTACGTTCTGTAGCCGAGTTGTTTCCCAACTCTGCAGCTTTTTTCTCCTATTCTTTTACCTATTGTTTTCCTTTTTAGCGTTCCGCCCCCACTATCCGCACATGAAAGACACCTGTACCACAATTCTACAAGCACATTGCCTGGCTTCCTTGTGCCAGAACGCAGCATCATTGCAGTTCTTATAGTCTCTGACCAGACGTAGTAAAACATGTCCAACGCTACGGAAGAAGCCAAAGCAGCTTGGGATGCTCATGTCGACACCCGCACAGGCGCCGAGCCCCCCAGACCTGCCGATCCATCCGAACTCACCAACCTACGTAACACCATCGGTGCTTCATTCAGTACTGTTGCGTCTCTAATTGGAGCTGTCAAAGCCCCAGTTCCTGATCAAACTGGCGATGGCTCCAAAATTGCACCCGAAGAGAAGGCTACCCTTTACAAGAAGATTGAGGGCAGCCTCCGAGATATGTCTCACCTCGGAATTGAGGACATCAAGTCGTTAATTGAGATCCAGAAGGAAAAGATGTTGGGTGGTTATACCGATGATAAGACATATCTCATGGAGGGCCTCATTCGAACTGCTGCTGCGTTGCCTGATGGCTCCAAGACAAGAGACGTCGTCACCAACAAGTTCCTTGAACAGTTATGGAACGACTTGCAACACCCCCCGCAATCATACCTCGGGGCAAAGTATCAGTATAGATCTGCAGATGGATCTAATAACAGCCTTATGAACCCTCAAATCGGCAAAGCTGGAACTCCGTATGCAAGAACAGTGAAGCCAGTTGCTATGCAGACTCCTGCACGCCCGGATCCCGGCGTCGTCTTCGACAGCCTCATGACAAGAAAGCACGCGGAGCTGCACCCCAACAGAATATCAAGCATGCTCTTCTACCTGGCTTCCATCATCATTCATGACTGTTTCCGCACTGATCACACAGACTATTCCATCTCGATGACATCGTCATACCTAGATCTCGCGCCTTTGTATGGTAGCAACCAAGCCGAGCAAGACATGATGAGGACACACAAGGACGGAAAGATCAAGCCCGATTGCTTTTCAGAGTCAAGACTGCTGTTCTTTCCCCCTGGCGTCGGCGCACTGCTGATCATGTTTAACCGTTTCCATAACTACACTGTCGAAAACCTGGCAGCCATCAACGAGCAAGGCCGCTTCACCAAACCCTCTACTGAGGCACCAAAATCCACTGGCGATGTGGAAGTGGACAAGAAGACAAAGGAAAAGCATGATGCAGCATGGGAAAAGTACGACAATGACCTTTTCCAGACTGGTCGCTTGATTACCTGCGGTCTATATGTCAACATCATTCTCATCGATTACGTTCGTACCATCTTGGACCTCAATCGCACAGACAGCAACTGGCAACTGAACCCACGCGCTGAAATTCCAGACTTGCCCATGGGCGTCGGAAACCAGGTTTCAGCTGAGTTCAACCTCGTGTACCGATGGCACTCCACCGTCTCTGACCGTGACGAAAAATGGACGCAAGAAATGTGGGATGGTATGTTTGGCGAAGGACGCGACCCCAAAACTGTTAACAAATACGAGTTCCTGGGACGCTTGAACGAAGTGTACAAGAGGACCGACCCCGATCCTGTGAAGCGTAAATTTGCTGGCCTTGAGCGTAGCAAGGACGGAACATTGCCTGATCAAGGTCTGGTAGATATTCTGACCTCTAGTATCGAGGACTGTGCCAATTCCTTCGGACCGAACAGAGTCCCCGCCGTATTCCGTGCCATTGAGGTCCTCGGTATTGAGCAAGCACGTGCCTGGAATCTGGGCTCGCTCAACGAGTTCAGGAAATACTTCAAGCTCGAGCCACACAACACTTTTGAAGACATCACGTCCGACAAGTATGCTCAGGAACAGCTCAGGCATCTCTACGATCATCCTGACAAGGTCGAGATCTACCCAGGCATCGTCGTGGAAGACGCCAAAAAGCCCATGGCTCCCGGATCCGGTCTTTGCCCCCCATACACCGTATCTCGTGCCGTTTTATCGGACGCAGTAGCACTGGTTCGTGGTGACAGATTCTATACACATGACTACAACCCACGTACCCTCACAAATTGGGGCTACCGCCAGGCCGACAGCGATACTGCAATCGACAACGGATGCGTGTTCTACAAACTCTTCCTGCGCGCCTTCCCTAAGCATTTCAAATACAATAGCGTCTATGTACACTATCCACTTACCATCCCTTCAGCTATGAAGGTCGCTCTGAAAGATTTGAAGAAGGACAATCTCTACGACTTTTCGAAGCCAGTACAGACACATCACCCACACTTCTTCAAAGAATACAAGCTAGCTACTCAGATCACGAAGGATCAAGATACCTTCAAAGTGCTCTGGGGAAAACCCATGGAATACATCATGGGTCCTGCATCGGCAGACTTTATGCTGGCTGGCGACGGACCTAAGAACATAGCTTCTCGCCAAATGGTGAGCAAAGCGCTATATATCTCCGAATGGGACAAGGAAGTGCGCAATTATTATACACGCAAGACCCGTGAGCTGCTGAGCAAGAAGAGTGCGAAGATCGCCGATTTCAACCAGGTCGACATCGTCCGCGATATTGGAAACCTAGCACACGTTCACTTTTGCTCAGAACTTTTCATGCTGCCTCTCAAGACAGAAGAGCAGCCGAATGGCATCTTCACGGAAGCCGAACTATACCTCATCATGTCATCTGTCTTTGCTCTCATCTTCTTTGACGCCGATCCCGCGTCCTCATTTCCCCTGCACGTCAAGGCGCGCAAAGCGACTCAAGTCCTCGGCAATATCGTTGAGGCAAACGTCAAAGCAATTGCAAAAAGCGGTATTTTGTCCAGCATTATGCAAGCAATCTGGCCCAAAGAAAGCGCACTCAAGAACTATGGAAAGCACATGATCAAACGCCTCCTTGAAAGCGGCATGGACCCCAAGCAGCTCGTTTGGGGCCATATACTAGGTACCGCAGGCGGCATGGTAGCAAACCAAGGTCAGCTCTTGGCACAAACTTTGGAATACTACCTGGTCGGTGAGGGCAAGGAGCACTGGCCTGCAATTCAGAAGCTCGCATTGGACGACAGCGAAGAAGCCTTTAAGACGTTGATGCATTACACAATGGAAGGCGGTCGGTTGAACGGCGAAACAGGCATCATCCGCGCCGTAGCAAAGGACGTTTCGCTCACTGAAGATGGCAAAACAACCAACCTCAAACCTGGTGATACCGTTTTCGTCAATCTGCGTGCTGCCTCGCATGACGCCTCTGCTTTCACCAACCCGGATGCAGTTGATCTTACGCGTCCTCTCGATTCGTATATTCACCTTGGTCACGGTCCGCACCAGTGCCTGGGTCTCCCAATGGCACGTGTAACGCTTACAACCATGGTCAAGGAGGTAGCTAGGCTGAAGAACTTGCGACCTGCGCTAGGACCGCAAGGCAAGATTCACAAGGTTGCTAAGAGGATGGAGCCGGAGGATGTGGAAGAAAAGTACCAGTATCATGCTTACTTGACGGAAAACCAGGACATGTACTTTCCGTTCCCATGTGGTAAGTTGATGAATTCCTCCCTGTAACCAGACTCGATTTGTTCATTTTGCTAACATGTTGTAGCTTTGAAGGTGTGCTGGGATTAATAGACCACCTCGATAAGGGCATAAGCGATACATATTACAAGAGCATCGGCGGTATGGCGGGCGGGAGATGCGTCGCGTGTATACAATGATGCGCCCATAGTAATGTACCAAAGAAGATGGACCGTTTGGGAAATTGGCGCAGGTACTTTGTTCTCTCCGTTGCTTTTTCCGTATTTGCAAAGGGCCGTTCCTGGTAGAATGCTCGCCTTCGTTTCTGTATTCTGTATAGTTGTTGTTTCATGGCTAAGAGATTCTGGTGGCATCATGGAATTATATCGCTCAACACACGTAGCATTGCTCATCTGACAGGCCGTGAGAAAGTTAAAAATAGGAGCAAACGGCCAGAGGACGAGCAGATAGTCCCCAGCCTAAAGTGTAAATTTCCCCGAGATACCGCATTTCCTCCACCGCTTATTGGTCCAAGCGTCCAGCCTCGTATTTGCGCCACCCCTAATTGTTCAAATGACGTCCTTGACAGGGTCTCGACAGCCAACTTCACCACCAACATATGCGATCTTCGGGCGATATTACTAGCTTCGACTGGAGAGGTTCGAAACGGGAATTGAACGGGTTTCAATAACCGCAGATCCCAGAGCGGCTGCATCGTGTGCGGCAGCTGCTTTCGGATAGTCGGATCGTTCCAATTCCCAGAAACGGGGATTCCTGTTCAGCCGGCGGCCGTCATCGAGGCGGCTCCACTACGTGACGACTGTGCAAGAGAGGAAAGTCAAGAGTGTAAGTAAACAAGTTTATGCCGCGCAAATCCAAGTTCACCACCCGGCGAGCCTCACATTTGCAATTCACACTGATAATCTTAATATCCAACCACTAGACATCCTAATCATACCCTCTCAGACATAATGGTCTCTTTCACCACTGTCCTCACCCTCGCTGCCGGCGCCCTCGCCGCCCCTGCCCCTGCCCCTGCAAACACCCAGGCACCACCAAACCAGATTCTGCCCGCAGGCTACCCCAACCCTTGGGCCTGGCACATTGAGGGCTTCGAAGCTGGCTGTGTGCGCAGCGGCTGCTTCTACCGATTCAACCTCTCAGTTCCGGCAAGCGAGGCCTACCCGCAAGGCGGCAAGTACTACTGCAGCGGCACCGAGAATGGCGAATTTGGCAATGAAAACTCGTTTGAAGACTGCAGCGTAGTTGGAGATGCCAATGCCGCTACCGCTGCCGCCAAGTTGGGTAGGAGGGTCAACTCCGATCCTCCCAAGCAACTTTACGTTAGTTTCTTGAAGCCAGGATCCGCAGCCGACCAGACGTGAGTTTAACCACAACTCTTTCTTTCTTGTCTCTGTTTCGTCGTTGTCACATGCATTTTACTAATACGGATCGATTTTAGGAATCCATACAACTTTACTGCAATCACGACGGACTGGACTTACAACGCATTTGTCGCAGTCGATGAGGAGTTTGACGTCTACCCTACTATCTGGCAGCAGTACCCTATTCCCCAGAGCAAGTAAGCTTGATTTCTTTAAGGGATCCGGGAGGGAACGGAAATCGATCGCCAAACCTGGCTATGCTATGGAAGCGGGTCACGGAAACTTCCAGTCTTGCTGATTTCTCTACTTCTCTCCATGTTTCCCAGGCTAGAACCTTTGTAGATATGTAACCATGTAAATATGATGATTAGAATCAACGCATTTTTGAACCTTTTCAATAATTGTATAGTGCTCATGGGACCTCGCAAAAAGTGGGTACCCATTGGCATAATACAGTAAGTTCGACCGGATTTAGTCCATTCAATACATTGTATCCACAATCCACCAATGAAATCGTTAGTCCAAGACAAAGTTTCATGCAGTAGCATATGGTGATCTTTTTCTAAGAATAGTTGGTGAAAGTTATCATGTCCAAGTATTGCCACCTCCGCACTGGCTCCGCTTCCGGTGGTCATTGCACAGGAAATGCAAATATATAAGGCAAGGTGACTTCCCACGTAATGACTCCAATCACTCAACATCCATCGCATCCTCAACCCGTTAAATATTCTTAATCCTAATTAACATCCGACAACCAACCCGGTCCATCCTCATTAATCAACCATGGTCTCATTCACCACGCTCCTCACCCTCGCCGCTGGTGCTCTGGCTACACCCGTCACTCCCGCGTTGACCACCCGTGATATCGAAATCCCCGCCAACTGGACCTGGCACGTTAGCGGCTGGGAAGCCGGTTGCCAACGCCGCGGCTGCTACTACAACTTCAACGTCACAATCCCTAGTGTGCGCGCTGCCATTGGCGGCGGCAAGTACTACTGCAACGGATACGAGAACGGATGGTACCGCCAGGGCAACTGGTTCGAAGAATGCAAGCTTCTGGAGCGTGCTCCCGGCGAGTTTCTGTCCGAGGCGGATAATACCGTTGCGGCCAAGTTGAGTGAGCAGGTTGGCGATGATCCGACACCGAATGAGATTATTGTCAGCTTTCTGTGGAATGGGTATACGCCCACTGGGTAAGTTTGTTTTGAACTCCTTGACACTTTCTACTACCCGATTTTGCGGGAAGGAAAAGAAAAAAAAGAGCAGCACTAACTCGTGTCTTTTTGTATAGACGCCCCTCGTACAACTTCTCCGGTTCTGCTCCAACTGTGTACAACCAGTTTGTTAGCCCTACTCTGGAGTTCGACATTACTCCTTCCAGCGTTTTCGCTGTCGCGTAAGCGAAAGAAGAGAGTAGTATGTCTGAGTAGAAGGGTAAATAATGAGCTGGACATGTGGAAACGAATAAAATAAGATTGATTTTTATGTTCAGTATCACTTATTACTAGAACTGATTGGATTCATTTAGCGTGTAGCGTATCTGATCATCTTTTTCACAAAAAAAAGAATAGAATACCTTAGTGTTTACAACTCCAAGTATAAGTATAATGTTGACAAATGAAAGAAGCGGATTCAGTACGAACATGGAGGATATTTGTATGTTATGACATGGATTTGAGTCTTAAGCAATAGTCCAAGTAAATCTCATGGCAAGAAAGCTTCATTGTGTCAAGTCTGAGATGCACGCATGGTACCCCTACGTACGGAATACTCACAATCCGCCAATAGGAGCTGCTCCTACCTCAAAGATCACATCGTGTGTAACATGATCATGTGGCGTGATTAGCACAAATTCTGTTTTTGCGTCTCGCTCCTCGAGACTAGATATATACACGGAGCCTCAAGTTGTGTATTCCAAGCACAGATAGAAAGAATGTCAAAAACCCATGGTAGTATAGAAAAGTAGATATTATGCTAGTGCACAGGGTACCCAGTAACCCTTGGGCAGAAACTATCGTTCAAGTAGAGAGTATAAGACGAGGACATTCGTGTGCAATAGATAATCATCTAATTTCATAAGTTTCCAGTCCATCTGGTAGATCACGGCAATCTCAGTTCCTCGTCCATCCAGCTATTTACTAGACGGTGTAGGTGAAGGTGAAGGTACTCGTATCCTCCATGGTAAGGCTTGTGGCTCGATACTTATCTACAACCGTTCAACACCCATCGAGTTTTATTATTATTTGGAGTAAGGTACAACCTTTGGCAGCGACGCAGTGAGTTTTCATCCCTCAAAATCAGTATGCGAAGGAAACTAGAGAGGCCAGTCGATCAGCTTCATGCTCGGAACTCCTGATATCTGCAAGGCAAGTGGCGCAAAGTATATTTTGTCTTTTTCACAAGGATTGTATGTACACAACGAGAATGTAGGAGAAGACACGATGATTAGGAAACGAGATTCTGGTAATTGGAATTCGAGCTATGTGAAGTGCTATGTATTGAGTGAAATTTGGTGTAGTGGATGAATGGAAATGAGCTGCAAACAGCAGGAGCTATCGCTATTCGGCGATCTGACATGAGGTACACCCATCGTGACATGATATCGTATCTACTCTAAGAGAGAGTAAAATTTCCATTTCCGGGCCCATATCCATCATCTCCACAGTTGCCATTGTCCCCGTTGTCGCCATTGGCTCCACTGTCGGCATCATCTGGATCGCTGACATCGTCTGGATCGTTGGAATCGGTTGCATTGTTAGCACCGACTGAGTTGATCGTATAATTACCATATCCGCCGTCTTCATCAAATCCATCAAATTCATCGTCTCCGTTGATGTCTCCTCCATACCACTCGACATCCATGTCCCGAACAGAGTTGGTTCCGCAGTGAATCTCTCCACCATAGTTGTGGTGCGTGTTCCAGTCATCAATGAAAATGACGTCCATGCCGACACTGGCATAGAGCGACTTGGTCGTCTGGGCAAAGATATCTGTGCCGTTGACGAGGGGACCCCATGGGTTCGGCGTGATATATGTGCCGTAGCCAGTCAAGACAAGGCCGTTAATGACGCCAGGGATCAAGGCGCCAACTTTGAGCACATCAGTCCCGTTAGTGAAAGAGCTATCATTAGAGTCGGTTCCATTAGTAACAGAGCTATCGTTGCCAAAGTTGGGAAAAGAGCCATCGCTAGGCAAGCTAAAGCTAGGGCGCTTGAACAGAGCAGGGAGGCGAATAATTTCATCGTCGGTGACGCCGGTCGCTTGCTTGAGGATTTGCAAGTTAGCCTCAATGCGCTTGGCGCATTGCTCCTGCACGGACATGAGGTCCTTATTGGCGAGTATTTCGTTGATAGTGGTAGACTCCACAGGGATAGGCTGGCAACCAAAGTCGTTGCAGGGATTCGGTGAAATGGTGTCATTGTTACGAGAGAAGACACGTTGTGAGCCCTGCCCGCTAGCTTTGATCTGCTGGAGCAGCTTGACACCCGCCATGGGATCATCAGCCATGATAATCCAACCACGCTCCGAATCGAAGGGCACGAATTGGACAAACTCGTCGACATGCCCGATGGCTAGCCAATCGGTATCGAGAAGAAGAGGATCTTGGGTTTCTTGAGCCCGGAAAAACGGTAGCATAGCGTGGCTCTGTTTGCCGTGATTGCCGAGGATCAAACGTCCCGCAGGCCAAGAAGTACCGTTGAATTCATAAGGAGGAATGGTCTCGATATTACCTCCGGAATTGATCTCGTCACGTGATCCGCCAAGCTGTTGGACCGCCCCAATGCCAGTGTCGCGATAGTACTCGAACAACTGGCGACCGGCAACACGCTCGTCCTGTGGACTTCGGATCATGATCCGCAAGCTGATGGGTCCATCAGGACCAGGCATAGAAGCGAATCCAGGTTCCATAAAGTCCTGAGCCCAGATGTCATCGCTCCCAGAGAAGAGGTAGAGGTCCTCTTCCAGGCCAGATTCGTTGACGGCGGCCTTAAGTTGCTGGTTGAAGCGGTTGAGATATGGCGCGCCGGTATCATTGCCTTTGACACCAATGACCTGCTGGACAGGGTCGAGGTGGGTATGGGTAAGAACGGGGGCAACGCGCAGCATGACACTATCGGACGAAGTGCCATTGGAGCTCTTGACATCGAAAGTCACAAGGGCTCGACCATCCCAACCATTGGGACGACGGACATCGCGCCCATCAATACCAAGGACAAGACCCTTGCGGAGTGCGGCTGCGCTAAAAGTAGAGTTTCCGTCAACGTATGTCCAAGTGCTGTTACAGCTCGCCTGGTGGAAGATCCGGACATTGCTGCGCTGCACTTGGTCCTTTATATAGATGCGGCCAGAAGCGCCATCGGGAAGACTGGGCATGGGGACTGTACGGAGCGGAGCAAGGAACTGCTCAGAGCGCAGTGTGTTATCAGAAGCATCATTACAGCGGTCGAGCTTCTCATTGCTCACGGCAGGGCCTTTGAGCAGATCTTTAGAGCAACGCTTGTCCGTGTCTCCTATGTTGGGGAGGAAGATGGCACCAGAGTCGGCAGTCCACGTGGCTTTGCCTTCAGAGTCTGAGGTGTCTGTGAGGTCGACGAGGCCATCGCGGTCAGTGTCAGCACGGATGTCGGCTTTGAGACTAGTGGCTGTTGGTGCAGATGCGTCGCATGAATCATCACGTGGAAGCACTCTGGCAAGGGCAAAGGGCGCAAGGGCTAAACCGTCTTAGCATAATGCATATCACGTGTGAAACGGTGTTGTCAGAAATCTGGGTGCTTACAGAAACTCGAAAGAGCAAGAAGCGCTTCGAGACGCATCTTACTTAAACCAAAACAAGCTTTGTGTTTAAGTTGTGCTGTATGCAGGTAGTAAGATGTTTATGGATTGGCTGAGTGAACTGAAATACGTAGTTGAATGTATGTAACTTATGGCTGAAAATGGTGGTTTCAATGTTACCACGTCGAATTGATACTTCTTTATACTCCCTCCCCTCGCACAATAACAAGCCAACCCAGCAGTTCCATTACTCCTATTTGGTAAACGAGGACTCGCTTAAGGCCGAGCTGACGCTGTTTTGCGACTCCCCTTGTGGCAACGTGCGGAAGCTTAAAATAGGAAGAATGTTCCGATTGGCCCAGTTACCCGGCTGAGAGTGAATGAACTCTGTCTATACGCGCTGGCCAATAACAGCCTCGAAAATACCGCCGTATCAAGCCGACTTACCGGCCCATAACGGAACTGCGCCCCCCCTTCCACGTTTTCCTGGCTACATCCCACGACTCTTGAGGATTCTTATGATCGTGGCTCCTACAAGACCTGCACCGCCTTAGTCAAGACTCTCACAACGGCCGAGCTTCTACGATGTACATCGACAATCTGACCCGTCCGCTATACGCGACAACCAATGACAGTCTCTTAGGATTGCCAGTCCGCTCCAAGGCTCCTCGAGTGCGCGCATTCTCACCCAAAGTCCGCACAGGATGTATTACATGGTAAGTTCTTCAAGACTCGAGATAAAACATGGTTGCTGGTGTTTGCCTCTTATCCTTTCTACATCCTGACCCCATCACCCATTCACCAGCGATCTGCACGAGACATCGTGAACTAGCTCGCAGGGCGAACTTTGCGACGGCTCCTGCTCATCTTCGACGATATTTTGACAGCAACTGCTATGAAATTTTTGTTAACGCTTTGTGACAGCAAGTAAGTGTGCTTCAGTGTCATATAGAGAAAGGCGTACGCTTCTCATGTGTACATGATACCTTCACCTACCTCGCTACATGGCCACTGCTTTTCGGGCAAATACGAGAAGAGTGGAGTATCTTGAATTACTCCACCTATTAGGTTGAAGCCATACTGACAAGACTCTTCTTCACCTCTAGAATTCGCAGGAAAAAATGCGACGAAGAGAAACCAACCTGCCGTCGATGTAGAGACAGTCAAGTGAAGTGTGATGGATATGCACCTATACCGGCCGAGAAGAAGAAATCGCCTTTGCAGAAGGTGGTCTCTGCGAAGGCGAAGAAGAGAACCATCCAGGCCACTCCCGAAATGGTCCAAACCATCGTTAAGCATTCACAACCACGTTTTTCAATTCCAGGTAATAGACTGAACCTCGAAATTGACGGTAGTGTGTACGATCGGATGTTTTTCCATCACTTTCGCTCCATTACCATGGTCGACTTCGTCCGTCTCGCCAATCCCAAAGATTTCTGGTCCCAGAGAGTGCTCCCCATGTGTCATGACGAGCCCGCTGTGCGAAATGCGGTTATTGCACTCGGCGCAGCCCACTACGTTTATCTACAAAAACTCTCGAAGCCTTGCCCGGGAGACAACGACGCATCCATGACCCATTTCGAGTGCGTCGCAACGCAATATTACAACAACGCTATTGGACAACTGGTAACACTCAACGACGACAACAATTTAACACTCTGGGATTCGCAACTCAAGATCCTCACCTGCTGCCTACTGTTTGTCTGTCTGGAAAATATCTTCGGTCGCACAGACGAAGGACTGCGTCATATGCAAGCCGGCGCTCGCCTCCTCGAAACCTTCGATTTGTCTACTGTCCCACCCAATTTCCAACAGCTGATACAGGAGATTGCAACCGTGTTGCTTCACTTTTGCGTCGACGTATCTTACCTCGATGACGACTTCGACGTCCCGAATATGCTGCCATATGTGGCGCCTCTGGTGGAACTTGATGACAGGCTGCAACCGTTTTCCAGCCTCGTGGAAGCCAAAGACGCCATGTGGGACCTAGATGTTAGAATGACCTACATCGAATGTCCCGATCACGAACCATATGGAATACCCGACAAAGACTGCATGCCCGATAATATGAATGAACTCATCGAGCCGTTCGAGCGATGGAAAACCAAGTTTAATCTTCTCGTCGCATCTCAGATCGATAATACAGATGTCCCGATTGACATACAAAGGGAGACACTGATCCTAATGCTTCGCCGCGCCGTATGGGAAGTCATTATGCCCATCAAAGCCGACAACGAAGCCGAGGAACTGGCGAGGCTTCAACGTGAGCTGGTTGACATGGCAGAGCTCTTATACAGCATCGAGGCTTCATGGCTAGGTCGGCCTATGTTCACATTGGACAGTGACAGTATCCCTGCCCTGTATTTCGTTGGGTTGTCCTGCGAAGACCCTGCCTTGGCTCAGCGCATTCTCGCTCTCTTGCGTGGTTCCCGAAGAAGAGAAGGGCCTTGGGATAGCTGGAAAGTGGCAGATAGGCTTGAAGCCGAGTTACTGAACCCTAGTCCTTGCCCATTCAAGAGCGGTTCGGATTCTGCTTCATCATGCAGGTCAGGCAGTACCCCGAATTCTGCGGGATCGTCTCCATCAAGTGGCACACCAGATTCCACTTCCTCGTTTTCAGTTTGTAAGACGGAATTTCTTTAGGAATGTCATGTATATTATTTCTTCAATCATTTTTTTTCTCGAGATTTGAACTCGAAGACCGATCGTGCGGGATTCTGACAGTTTCCTTTTGACTCTGCTAGATTACCACCTCACACACTGCAAGTCGGAAAAAATTCCGAGGCTAATGTCAACCTCGCCCTCTTCTTAACGACTCTCTGTCGATCGACAAGCGCCGTCTGTACCCTATCCATACTAGCCAAACTTCCCAATGTAAGTCTCCCCGTTTCTTTGCGAATCAATGTTTGATCGAGATCAAATTACGGTTCACCGCCAACCCCATGTTGTGAAGCCCTGCCCATGTCGGCTCTCAATATCTGCAGTGGCGAGATCTTCGTCACTGGCACGGAAAAAGACATAGTACAAATACTCATAGGCTTCCACATAGCGGTGGCATTGTCTCGTTACCCTAATATCCGTCATGGCTACACTACAACTTGCATCCTGGGCTACCAATCTAACATATAGCAGCCTCGCCAGCAGTGTGCTTGTAGCTGCTAACAAATCCTTCTTCAACTGGGCTGGATGCGCAATCGGCGGCTTTCCTTTCCAAGCTGCACCGCAGATTGCACTCAACACCACGCTCTCTGCATTCTCAGGGGCACCAACGTCTTCGATTCTGGGTGCCAATGATTCCACCTCACGGGTTTTGGGGGATGCTCAAACTGCAGCTCTGATAAATGGCATTGCCAGCCATGTTGATGATTACGATGACACGCATCTCGAGACTATCATCCATCCTGCCGGGCCCGTTGCAAGCGCTCTCTTAGCAGTCGCCGAAGCGCATGGGCCTATCATGGGCCATGAGTTTATAACTGCATTTGTGGCAGGTGTAGAAGCGGAATGCAAGTTGGATTGTCTGTCTCACCAGAGCACTACGATATGGGATGGCACATTACTTCCACAACAGGGTCCATTGGCGCAGCCATCAGCGTAGGCAAACTTCTCGGATTGAGCACTACGCATATGCAACACACTATCGGAATTGCTGCTACCCAAGTGGTGGGAATGCAAGTGTATTTCGGCTCGGACACCAAATCTCTCCATGTTGGCCGCGCCGCACAAGGCGGTATTCTAGCTGCGCTGCTCGCAAAGAATGGCTACACGTCTTCTCTCGAAGCCCTCGAAGCCAAACATGGGTGGCTTCATGTTATTAGCACGCGGGAAAATGCAACGCTGTATTTCGATCAGCTGGGAAAGATATGAGAAATCGAAAAGAACACCTTTAAACCTTACCCTTGTGGAATCGTCATGCATCCGACCATTGATGCTGCCATCTACCTCCGAAATGAGGCAATATTACAGAGTCTTTCAATCGAAGACATCGATACCGTACAATTGCGCGTCAACCACGAAGTTCTCATTCTGACCGGAAAGAAAGAGCCACAAATTGGACTCGAGGGCAAGTTCAGCATCTACCACGCTGCCGCGCTGGGTCTGGTTTATGGAAAAGCGACACCTAGTCAATTCACCGATAGTGTTGTCAAAGACCTGGCCGTAATAATTGTACGCAACAAGGTCAATGCGACTGAAGATGAAGGCGTATCCCGGTCCGAGGCATACGTCACTTTGACCTTCAAGGACGGTACAACACTACAAAGGCACATCGAACATGCCAAGGGCAGTATCCAGAATCCACTTACCGAAGAGGAATTGAAAGAAAAGTTCATCGGGCAGGTGAGCCTGACGATTGGGCCTGATCGTGCACAAGATGCGTATGCATCATTTTCAAATGTGCAGGAAATGTCCGATGTTGCGGCCGTTCGCCATATTAGCATTCAAAGATCTGAGATCTATCTAGATTGTGATCAGCGGCGCGACTACCAGGTTACATTGGCCATTCGATTGGAAACTTGGCCACTTATGATTTTGGTTCTATCACATCACGCCAGCGCTGCTTATATAGGTGCGGTCTATTTACAAGAAATTCTTACTAATCGTATCAATTTCGAAGTTATTTTATCCATGTTCATGCATTGTTGTATATATTCTTATTTGTCGAGCCCACTTGGCTTCATGTTTATATCCTTGGGTTATTGTTTCACTGCCCCCATCCTTTCTTCAACCCTACAGTTAAACCAGAGCACCTTAATGTTTCACAAGTCTAACAACAGTATATGATTGCGCAAGGATATGCGAGAATGGTTAGAGTGGATTCCCAGTCGATCTTGCTTGCTAAAAATGGTGAATGTACCATGTTGTAGTGGTAGCTTTGTATTTGTAATGTGTGTTAATCACTAGCAACGGTTTATCTTATCTAAAACTCACAATGTGAAAGTGTAATAAAAGTTATTGAACATATAATTTTATCCCTGTCAGTAACCACAAGGTGACACCCGCCCCCTACTCACAGATGAGGCGAGGTTTTAATGATCCAGACTCAACAAAAAAAACCTAAATCTAGGAACGTCCCCTCAACTGCCATCATTTTTGTCCTGTTGTTCGACACATCATCTTCGGAATATCACCGAACAGCGTAAGCCAGACTTTTGCACTCTGTTCTGCGCCAAGACTAGTAGAACGTGTGTGTAAATTTGCATAAGGATCTCCTCTCACATAGCATCTTGTAACCTGTTATTTCTAATATCCCTTACCTACAAGAAACTTCACTGAATCGTAAAGTCAAAGTTTCTCGTCAGTGCCTGAACATTCATCGGTGTCACCTTTGTACGTTCCCACTCTTTGTACAATATTTAGACCCTGCCCGAATTTAACTTCCTAACCTACAATAAGTATAAAAAACAACGTGTTCGTGTTATAGTACACCTGCAAGCATTACGCAAAACTGCTGTGTATATAGGGTGAAGTACGAAGTCAACACTTCACACACGAGCTGTTAGGATGAAATTTCGAATACATGCAGAATACCAGAGACATATGTTCGCAATTCCGGCACTTAGCTAGACTATTTTCGTACCTACAAATGTAATAATGGTGGTAATTGCATTCAAGTAGCTAATTCGTGTGGCCATCAGAGTCAGCGGATAAGCGCTTAGTAGCCTCTTGCGGGCACATGTTTTCCATGGGCTTTTGATTAGGAACCCGTTCAGCTATACCCTTCTGCTACTTTTGAATCTCGTGTGTATGCAAGATTCGAAGTCTAGGGTTCATTTGTTCTCACGTTACGCAACAGTGTTTCGTGTTTAGCATGTTCTCATCCCCCAAGTTGTAGCATCTCATTTGAAATGACCCAATAGAGCCTATTTAGGGTATTGAAAAATACGGTAATCATTGGGGAGGCGAAAAGAACGTTACTTGCATGATCCGTTTTATGGCACGTGACGAGATACAGTTAGTGGAGCCAAGATTTCAAGGCGGTGACATGTGGCAGAAATAATTCTAGGACTGCTCAACATGGACGAACCGACTTCTTCGCGCAACCCAATTGTCGGATTCTTTTGCTTTCCTACCCGGCAAACTCGGTTGCGAGATTTATTTTAAAACTCTAAGAGATACGCCGCAACGCCGCAACGCCGCAACGCCGCAACGCCGCAACCATGGCTTCCGGACGTAAGCCTGAAGCCAGGACTTCGCAACCGGGGCGCAAGTCGCACAACAGCGCACTCATGGACGAAGACGCCCGCGCAGTCGCAGAATTCACTCAGAGAGCTACACAACAATATGGCCGCGGCGACCGGATACGGCCGAAATCAGTCAAAGATAAGAAGCTGCGGGCAAATGTGAAGTCGCTCGAGTCGAAGAACAAACAGGCGGCGATAGAAGCAAAGACTGTCGAAGTCCTGCTTGAGAACAATGCTGGACTGCTGGAGCCGGAGAACGAGTTGGAAAGAACATATCGCGTTCGGCAAGACGAGGTCAAGCGGGAGGTTGGCCTAGAGACGGCAAAGAAAGGGTTCGAGTTGCGGCTAGATGACCTTGGGCCGTACGACGTGTGCGAGTACAGTCGCAATGGGCGCGATTTGTTGATTGCGGGCCGGAAAGGCCATGTCGCGACGTTTGACTGGAGAGCCGGAAAGCTGGGCTGCGAACTACAACTCAACGAGACGGTGCGTGATGCGCGATGGCTGCATACAAGCAACCAGAAAAACTTTGCCGTTGCACAGAAAAAATGCGTGTACATCTACTCAGGCGATGGTGTAGAAATGCACCAGCTCAAGAACCATTCGGAGGCGACGCATCTCGAATACCTTCCGTACCACTTCCTCCTGGCCTCAGTATCAACAGCAGGCATCATAAGATACACAGACGTTTCGACCGGTCAATCGCTGCCACAGCTCTACACCAAACTTGGCCCTGCCACAGCGTTCGCGCAAAATCCACAAAACGCAATCCTCAACGTTGGCCACCAAAAGGGTCTTGTCACACTATGGTCGCCGAATAGCGCCACTCCCCTCGTCAAGCTCCTCCCACACCGTGGGCCTGTACGAAGCATTGCCATGGACAGATCAGGCACCTACATGGTCAGCACTTCTCAAGACCGGCGCATGTCCGTGTGGGACATTCGCATGTTTAAAGAAATGCACCAGCACCACCTGCGTGTCCCAGGCACCACTCTCTCCATTTCCGATCGCAACCTTACGGCTGTAGGCTACGGAACCCAAGTCTCTATCTATAAAGACGACATTTTCCAACGCAGCCCCGAAGATCAGTCACAACCCAAGATGCCCTATATGGGATGGGGCGGCCAGGGCCTCGATGTTGGCCGCGTCCGCTTCTGTCCTTTCGAAGATGTACTCGGCATATCGCACGACCGTGGCTTCTCCTCCATTATTGTTCCCGGATCCGGAGAACCCAACCCCGATTCCCTCGAACCGGGTACCAACCCCTATGAAACCTCCAAGCAACGCCGCGAAACCGAAGTCCATGCCCTCCTCGAGAAGCTCCAACCTGAGATGATTGCGCTCGACCCCAACTTTGTGGGTAACCTTGATCTGACGTCGCACGAGGAGCGGCAAAAGGAGTACCGCGCGCAGCGGGGTGAGCGCGAACCAGACAAGGTGGATCTGCTGAAGAAGAGGGGCAAGGGAAGGAACTCGGCGCTGAGGAGATATCTGAGGAAGAATGGCAACAGAAATGTTATTGATGCAGAAAAGGAACGCGCACGCGAGGCGCTCAAGAATATGCAAAAGAGGCAGATTGAGCGCAAGGAGAAGATGAAGAAGGAGTACGGTCCTGCGCTCGAGCGATTTGCGAGGAAGTAGGTGGTGAGGAGAAGGCCCCCGAAAAAAGCATTTTCTTATCGCATTTGCATGGCGTCTCCGCGTCTCTTTTCTTTTCTCTGTAGTTAAGATACCTTTTGAATACTATCAGACATTGACTGATTGCAGCAATGACGTAAATGGCATAGTATGAACGTAGCAAGACGTTTACTTCCAAAAAAAAAGAACGCCATGTCCATTTTTGACCTAGTTATCTAAAATGCCCATTGATATCATAAACCTCATGCTTCCTTCAGCTCATTTACAACAAGAAAGCGGTAGCTATATTTCTTTACTGCTCCATCTCACCCCTCCAAGCCCTCGCGCTTCTCGGCCAAACCCTCTTGTACAGACTGACAGCCACGGCATCCATTGGACTGATCTTGCCGTCAAATGTGGCCTTGAAGTAACCATGCGTACCCAAGCTCTCTTTGATGAAACCACTTCGTCCGCGCTTAGTCCACAGCGGCAGGCTCTTGAACCATTTGACATCTGTGTCGTTGAAGAACATGTAGCGTACGGTGACGACACGCTTGTTGATCTTGTAGGGGTGACCAGTCAAGATGATGCGCTTGGCTACGATGCGGTTTGTCGAGGGAGGAAGAGATGTTCCTGTTGCGATTAGGCGGAGAGGAGAGGGGTGATCGGGTGTAGGTGTCGTGCGAGTGAAGTAGAGAAGCGGGACGTTGCCCCATGTGAGGGGGCCAATAAAAGTCGCAATTGCTGATTGTCCTGGGTGCAGGTAACGGGCAAATTTGTGTACGTTGTTAGGCGTGTTGCCTGCGTTTGAGAAAAGCTGTGAGAGGTGTTAGTTGAAGTCATGTCCTCTTGGGCGTATCGGGCAACTGCTTCGACTTACAGGGTTAATCACAATCCTCCTTGCACCACATTGTACAATTAACTCTGTCTTTGACTTTATCGGAGACTCGTGCTCGGAGCTGAGTAGAATGCTGTAGTTGCACGCTGTTCGCTTATGCTCATGCCTGAGTAGCGAGAACATGGCCATTGACCGCGGCCCGCTCTCTTGGAACTGCAAGGGAACTCCTCGAATGTGTACGCTTACTCGAGTACCAGCCTTGACACCCCCAGCCCATGCTTCGCGCATGAATTTGGTGGCGGTACGCTTGTAGTCGGAAATCTCGAGCAGCCGTTGCCACTCCTCAGGTTCGTATGGTCGATCTTCTTCCGTGTCCCATACACTGGTCTTGAGGCTCTTCAATCCTCGGTAACGGATAAGACGCTCACGTGCATTGACATTCGGGTGTAACTCAATCTCATCGGGAAACTCCAGATCTTCATCCGCTTCAGTTTTCCTCGACTTGCGGTACTCCTCAATCTGTGCCGCCTCGTCTTCTGGTGATGGATCCATGAACATCTCAGATTGTGGATATTCTGATGGCGCACCCTCGGTCATTGCTTTTCCATCGAGATCCATGCCCTCCACACCGTCCGCTGGATGAGCGGGCTGATTCTGGTTATCTTGTCCGTCATCCATGTCAAAATCCTCAAGGTCGGAGCCCGAATCAGACATGTCATCTAGGTACCAGGCAGCCTGGTAGTTACTAGTACCCCTTGGCAATCGCCTCTTCTGCTTAGGGGCAGTCTCTTCTTCTTCATCTGAGAAGTAATGGTGGTCGTCAAGCAAGACACCTTTTCGCTCAGAAGGGGCGACAGATGTAGCGTAGTTGGTTACATCGTCCATGAGTGTTTCTTCAGGGGCGAGTTCTGCCAAATCGTCTTGGTATTCAGTCGGTCGCTCCAAGGTATCATCAGTAGAATCGACAGCCATTTCTTCATCTTTAGTCTTCTTTCGCGACTCCAGCGGGGCAGCAACGATCTTTTCAATTTGAAATTCACCCCAATCTCCAACCTGGACCAGCCGATCTGCCTTGAGTCCAAGTCCCCGAACCACACCAGTTACGACGACCTCGCCAGTGCCATCCTCGCTGATGGCCGACTTTCCTCCAGGCCAAGTGATATCCTCGATGAACATGTAGCTCCTCTGGTCTCTCCACCGAACACCTTTTGTAGTAGTTGTGCATAGTGATCGGACAAGGTTCGCCCCCTCTTGTCGGTTGTCGAGAGAGTACACACGGTCGGTTGACGGCAGCCAGTGGGTAATGTATGACTTGAGCGATGAGATGACAGAAGGTCTTTGTTTGGCAGGCTCGACCTTGTCCAATCCCTGGACTACGGTAAAGGTGTTGGAGATACCCTGGCATTCCACCGACTTCAGTATCAACTCGCCTTCTGCATCCACCTCTTCATGCGCTGACAGGACAAAGATAACAAAGTCGGCGATCCGGCAAGCGTCGAGAGCAGCCAACAAATCCCTCTTGACAACCAGGTATTGCACCTTTTGTTTGAAGCGATCGACGTTTGTCCTGGTCCAGCCAACCTCGGGCACGTCATCGTCAATATCGAGGCTGGAATTGAGGCTGTGCACGGCGGCGGCGGCAGAAGTATCGGAACAGAGGGGGACGACGGCGGCGATTCGGGGGGCGCCGTCTTTGCCGGCGAAGACGTTGGTCGACTTTGCGTGCTCATGGTCCTTGTTGATGCGCATCTGCTTGGCGCGGTTGCGGCGGTCGAATTTGTTCATGATTTGCTGGTGGGGTGTCTTGCGGCTGCCGAACTCGAAGGAGAGGGAGTTCACCTTGCCTGTAGAGCCGTATTAGAGAGAGAAGTGCGCTATGAAGCAAGTTGCTCAGCACTTACCCTTGCTCTGCTCCTTGAGCGCACCCTTTGTGGCATGACGGGACTTGAAGCCCTTCTTGTCCTTCTTGGTGGTGCTGCGGTGGTGATGCGACTCCATTGGGGCCATGTTTGCGCTGCCACCTGCCTTGAAGCGAAAAGGTATCGACGCCACTGTGAATGTGAATATCGACGAGTGTCGGAACTTGCAGCGCTGGGGTTGGTGGGGGCGAGCGCCGGACGGGCGATAATTTTGTTATCGTCTGGCTTATCGAGAATAATTTTGGCTCCTCGGCTGTGGCGTCATGCCTGGGATCCCTGTCTTTTTGCGTTCCCCACCAGCCTCATATTAGCCACAAACTTGTCTGGATATGTAACGCCGACATGCGAGCCACAGATGGATAATCACGGATGGATTTGCGTTTGCTCATGTAGACTACATATTTCTACTCTAGTATCCACAACGAAAAAACAGCAAGATCGCCCAGTATAACACAATCCGTGCAAGGAGCAGACCTAAAAACATGTCTGTTGACATGGCCAACTGATCACTCCTATATATAACCGCGAGATACAAACTCTACGTCTACACTACTTTAAACATAGTACCATGTATAAAGAGGTTCATTTGTATCGCTGATTTATACCTAACCTTAATTTTCAAAGTTTCGACACCTCTATAGGGCGTGTAAAATGGGGGGTAAAGAGATGATATTTTATTCGTGTAGCAGTGCTGAGCTAGGTTTAGCAAAACGATGATATCAAGCAAGCACTCTTTCAGACAGGACCTGGCTCTCACCCCTGGCAGGTGGTTGATGTGTCTTATGCCAGAGACCATTCACATCACTCTCTACGGAAAAGATACAGGATTAAGATTACACAGAGCGATTCCAGAATGATATTCAATGTAACATGCTAAACACCTATTGAAGTTGCTTCATCAAATCGTCGTGTTCCTCCCAGATTGCAGGCTTAGAATTAGGCAGGTAATGTCTATGACAAGACACTATTGACGGGCCCATATAAGTGGCGAAGACTCCATCAACGAGCAAGATAATAATGATAGAGCAGTATGCGTGAGACGTTGAAGGAAGCACCTGGGTACCCAAACATGACACGGAACACTATCTTCCGTGCTTCCGAAGCCACCAGCGCTGTATTGGCAATAAAGCTATGATGGTTGCGGCCCCCAACGACTAGGTTTAGATTCTGGTTGCATCCATGATATTGCCTTGGACTCTGGCCAACCAACGAGCATGTAAGCGCTAATCTGGGACAGAGAGTTTGAGCCCCAGTGCCGATGTTATAGTGTGCCGCTGTTCCAGTAAGAAACTGAGAAGTCTGATCCAGAACATCGCCTGCTTACTTACATGCATACGTAACCTCACCCGCTTTGTGCCGGTAAAACATAAAATGCACCTTTGTCACCCTTTGCCTTCGGTCTTTTTGCTTTGTAGAGCATAAGTATCACCCAGATCTACAGTCTCAACTTGTTCGATTGCATAGACGTATCTCATAATAAAATTTATATTCATCATGCACTTCAAATACCTGTTTGCCGTGCTGGCCACAATGGTGACTAGTGCATCGGCTATCAATATTGTAAGTGAACGACCCTGAGGGTGGAAAGTGGGTGCTGACTGCCTCATCAGTGCTATAGTCAGTCAGATTGCGACCAATACGTAAGCGACAATTGTCCTGATGGTGGTGGTTGCACAAGCATCCGTGGAGGCTACTGCCGCTGCGCCTAGAGGCTAGATGGGTTTGTAGCTTCTTTCAGAGATCTACATGCAGTAAAGGAACAGGAAGCCAATCGCAGAAAGTGCCGCTTAACAGAACGTTTCTCAAGCAGATTCGCAGACAGAAGGCCACTCGAATCCAAGAAACTGTTGAAGCAACAGTGTCAGTATATTCAACATCAGTAACGACTCGGCGTTCCATGAGTGAATTGTCATTTGTTCGTTTTTGCGTGTCAATCAACGTGTCATATATGTGTCTCTTGCTATGGCGACATGGTCGATGGTTAGCTCAAGTCATTATTGAAATTTGGCGAAGTGAGGAGCAAGCGTTGCTGCAGGTCGTACGGATCCTTCAGATGATGCTGCGCCTTTACTGCACTGTTTGATCTGATTCCGTAGTTATGTCCTGCGCCTGATTCAATACCTACTCTTACCAAATGTCCTATAACTTTCACAAGACCCTTTCAGCACGATATCGCCTTTGCTTTTCTCCTTCGCCGATCGACGCGTCTCAAAATTCTACAGATATATCTAATTTCTTGAATGTTTTGTGTGTCAAGCGAGGTACCTGCACTACGCTACGGCCGCTCCTGCTGTTTGTTACCTTTACCTGAGCAGACAGCAAACACCCGCAGGCACTGACCTTCTTCCGCTTCCACGCCGCACACTCACTTTCACCGTCAACAGCCATAAGACAAAAACAACCACACTACCGCAGTGACTATAACTTCGGCACAACACAACTTGTCGCAGCTGGACAATTTGAGCTTCACGAGCCCAAAGCTTGATCTTCCCACTGCCCATCATGAAAAGCCGCCGCAATCGAGTTCCTTACAGGCAAGATGAAATTGAAAGGTATGAGTGACTAGGAGCGCACCGTCACTGCCTGGCTGACCCTCGCAGTCTCAAGGGCATTGCTCTCCCCGCCAAAATCAAGTGCGGTCGCTGCCAAAAGAACCTCCCCCAAGCAAAGTTCTCCTCAAAGCAGCTTACCGATGCCCGTTGGCAAATCAAGACCTCGAGCCAGATCTACAAGCCCATCAACTGTCACACTTGTACAGGCCAGCAAGTAGTTGAGGTTGAATGCACAATGTGTGGAAAGACAAAGGGTCTCGAGGATTTTGCAAAGTCTCAACGCCGCAATCCTGATACGGCAAAGTGCTTCGCGTGCGTTGAGGGTCAGCTTGCCAATGAGGCTTTTGACGAGGACAAATACGAAGATCCTGATAAGGCCTTTATCACTCCGGATCACTCCAATGGCCAGTATCCCGAGTACTTCTCGGCGGCTACTTCCGATACATCTTCGTCCTATGTATGTATTGGGTTTGATCTTATCATCCTCAGAATCATGACATTTTCGAGTGGGTGGACACTGACTTTACCAGGGCGATGATGACTGGAAGACTGTCAATGAGAACCACCAGTCCAGTCGTCTCACAGCCAAGGATGGCGGCATCAAATTTTCAGCCGATTTCCAGCGGGCCATGTCTCTGAACGGATCCGCCGATGAGAACTTGATTGATTATGAGTATGCTTATCCCGTTGGCCGTGAAAGGACTGGCAATGATGGCTTGAGCGAAGTTCGCACCAAGTCGTGGCACACCCAGTCCAGCAAGGCTCCTACTACCAGCTCGACTTCGACTATCAATGCGAATAGTCGTTCGTATGCCTCTGCGGCAAGCTCGTCTCACTCGTTCCCCTCAAGTGTGGCTGAGCGATCCAGTACTTCCGAGCTTTATCCTAAAGATGGGGCCATGACCGCTGCTGCACCTCGAGGTCCTCTTGTAGTAAGTGCAGCTAATTCCAAACGGTCGTAATGTCAACTGTTCAACTAAATATGCTGTAGAGGCCTATGGGAGATGCTGCCCGCGAGATTGGTCCCGTTGTAGACGCATGGGGTGATTCCGACGATTCCGATGAAGATGACGACGACGATAGTGATGACGATACTATCATCTAGACTTTCATCATCACATCTGATGCCGAGAGGTTAAGGGTATTGAACGGATGACATCACTGGATCGCGGGCAATTGTGAACACAATTCTGTGCAATGAAGTTATATGGATGCGAATGCTCGAGAAATCAGTGTACTATTTAAGGATTCTTTTGCGAACTTCATTCTTGCTGAAATGAATCTCATACTTCCACTAGTCCAAGATATCCATCAAGTCATAATCCGCCACTCAACAAAACAGTGTGTGGGCGGACTGGCAAAGAAAATCAATTGTCAGGGGTAGACTTTGCTCGATGCAGCAAGTAATTGCCACCACGTGATTGCGCGACTGCCCTGTGGACCCCGGACGCGCCTTCACCACTCACTGTCTCACCCCCGCTTGTCGGCCTCCGACTCACTTCAACACCAACTGCCTCCCTCCTCAAGCAATAAGTCGTATCTTGTACAATCCACTTCCTTTGCGCTGCTATAAATTGACAAAATGTAAGCCATTAACTTGCGCCACATGAACTCAGCGTACAATACTGATGAGTGGCGACAGGAGCGGACGGCGACCAAGAGGAGCGGGTATCCGTGGGCCACACTCAGCGCTGACAGACTTTCTGGCGGTATGTTGACCTTATGCACGCATTTCTGCAATATGGCTTCATCAAAACTTGTGCTAATTACGTTACAATAGGCAAACAACATTTCCGCACAAGAGATTCGCGATTCGTACCAGCAACGTGTTCGGCAAGCCGAGCAGGATACAGCGCAAGCCGGGAACAATGAGGAAGGATCTGCAAATGCGGGTGCTGAGGACGAAGAGCCTGAAGAAGATCTACAAGCAGAGTCATCTGCAATGGCAGCTGAACGTACTCGCAAACGGAAACGTGATCAAGATGAAGCTATAGCGAAGATCAAGAAGGGAAAAGCGGCCAAAAAGACGGCCAAGAAGAAGAAGAAGGGCCCAGATGATGACTCAGATTTTGAGGATGTTATGGACATGTACAAGAAGGCCAAACCTCTGCCTGGTCAGCTAGAGAATTGCGAGATCTGCAATAAGCGGTTCACCGTCACACCGTACAGTAAAGCTGGTCCAGAAGGCAGCCTTCTATGCACGCCATGTGGCAAGGAAATGGCTAAGGACGCTAAAGCAGAGAAGAAGGCTAACAAGCCCGTTGTGCGCAAGGGTCGAAGAAAGATTGAGAGTAACCGCCTTGATGGGTTGACTGTGCGCGGGCCAAAGACATTGCAGCAACTCTGCATTGAAAAGTTGGCAAAGCACTCGGAAGATATTGAAGAGCTGGGCGAGATGCCGGAGTCGATTATGAATCGCATCAGCGAGATCTTTTCGAAGAAGCGGGCGATGAACCCCACGACGATGAAACTCTTCCTGCAGCCCGACATGGAAAAGGTCGCTATTCACGAGGCTGCATATCTCGAGACGGAAGATTACGATCAGATATTTGCAGTGTGTCCGACTGTCAAGCGCCTGTCACTTCGTAACTGCTGTCAGCTGAAGGACAGCAACATCGACTACATGATCGAAAAGGCCAAGGCATTGGAAGAGATCCAGCTGCTGGGAGCCAACCTGGTTTCAAACGACAAGTGGATTGAGTTGTTTATTGCGCGCGGCCACGACCTCAAAGCATTCAAGGTGGAGTGGCTGGATGCAGCCTTTGATGACCAGGTCGTGGAAGCGCTGATTACCTTTTGTCCGAAACTCGAGCGGCTGAAGTTGGAGCGATGCAAGAAGATTGGTCCAGACAGCATCAAGGCAATTGCTGGACTAAAGCACCTCAAGCACCTCACTCTCCGGTTCTACGACACTATTGAGCGCAAGAAGCTAGTGGACCTGATCAACTCTGTTGGCGCGAACCTGCAGACACTGTGCCTAGAACATTTTGTTGACAACACAAGCGAGCCGACTGATGATGTGCTGAAAAGCATCCATAAGCAGTGCCGGAATCTCAGCAAATTCCGTTTCACAGAGAACCACGAGTGCACTGATGCTGGGTACGTACAACTCTTCTCCGAGTGGGACAACCCGCCGCTGCGCTACATCGACGTCAACTCGACACGTGACATGGACAACAGCAACCCGGATGGACCTCTGGACTCGCCTGTTGGACTTGGAAGTGAGGGTTTCCGTGCACTCATGTCGCACTCTGGCTCTCGGTTGGAGTATCTCGATGTCTCATCGTGCCGGCACATTTCGCATGCTACGTTTGCAGAAGTGTTTGATGGGGTACAGCAGTACCCTCATCTCCGCGAGATCAACGTGTCGTTTTGCCCTGTAGTGGACACGGAGGTTGTAGCGGGGATCTTCCGGTCCTGCCCTGGACTGGCCAAGGTGGTAACGTTTGGATGCTTCGAGGTCAAGGACGTGGTGGTGCCACGGGGCATTGTGTTGATCGGGGCGCCCAAGGCACAGGACCAGATTGAGCAGTTTGGCGACGTGGTGTTTGACTTTGCAAAGGAGCTGGAACAGAGCATGGATCAGATGGGGGCCATGGGTCGGGTTGTGCCAGTCATGGGATAGTGATTTCTGGAAAGTCATGAAATGGCTCGTGGGAATGTTTCGTGTCTAGGAGTTACATGGATAATTATGGAGTCAAGGGAAACACATGATTTTAACGCGCTTCTTTCCGCGTGGAAGGACTAATGATTATAGACGGAACAGAAAACGACTTTTCATTCGATACTGTTTCTTTTGGTTCTTCTCATTTCCTATGCTAAGAAGATGGCCTTGATCCATGCTGGCCTTGGACAAGACACTGGCTCGCTAAGAAAATGAAGCCTCTTGTACGTAACGCTCACAAAGTAACATGAATAGACGTGGGACCCAAGCTTGTGGTGCGGAATCAGCCCATGGCTTATACCCTGGTCAACCACATCATGAAGCCAAACTGAACAATGTAACTGTAGACGAACAGAAACTGGGTCCGCCTGTTCTTTTGATTCTTGGCTGGGTATCCGCCGGGGGCAGGGCCTCCAAAGTTCCCTTGGCCAGTCTGATCGGGAAGCAGGACATATCGCAGGCTGCGAAGGAGGAAAAAGGCATTTGCACTGAAGCAGTAGAGGAAGATGATCCAGTTGACCATTGTTCCGCCAAAGCCAAGCCACGAGGCAAAATGCGTCAGAAGCAGCGAGACAATAACATGGACAAACTTGTAGCCACTGTATGCGACCAGATCGAGGAGTTGCGAGGAACTGCTAATGGCGAGCAGAAAGGTGCCAGTGCGTATAATGAGAATCTCCAGAAGGGTAACAGAGATTGCGACAGTGGCCGTGTAACCCAGCAGCTCTGGGTGGAAGGCGCCCCTCAGTCCAGCCAGCAACGTCGAGAGGAGGATGTAGGTGACGAGGGCCATTATGGGAATGTACATGTCAGGCGAGTTGACATCTTCGCGAGGCGGTTGATAGAGCAGAGCGGTCGAGGAGGCAGCGGGATCCGAGGTATGGCGTTGCTGGCGGGACCAGGGGCGATGCCACCATGGGAAGAGGATGATGCGCAGTTTGGTGAGGACGTACGAGTTTGTGACATTGAAGTAGTGCCTGAGGGCGGAGACAGAAACGAAGCGTCCAATCTATTGCAGCGAGTTAGTCTTGGCCCAGCCATCGTGATGCGCGCATGGCATAGGAAGTGAGCGCGTCGCCTGTGCGGTCGCTTTGCGCATAACGTCACGTACATTCTGCTCAACGTATTGCTGCCCCGCATCCACAGCGCTCTTTCCCATCTGGAAGCCGAGCTGGGCTGTGGGGTCATTTATGAAGCCGCCAAACGAGGGGTGCATGTTGTAGCCTCCCTGCTGGGGAGGCATCCCCCCGCCCTGCTGCCCGTATCCATATCCGCTCTGTGGTTGCGAGGGCGGGGGAGGGGGTGAGCGCAGCTGGGGGACTGTCGAGACATGCTGTGGAATTGGGTGGTGTACTGTGGCGTGTTAGCGGAGGCGCGCCCGAAGTGGGTATATGTAAATATTTGGGGAGAGACGTACGGGGTGGTGAATGCGCGGGCGGCGGATTGCTGTAATTGGGACGCTGCATGGCTGCGCGCGATACCGGGGCCGGCAGTCGTCGTGGAGATGGGGGGGCGAGATGAAGGGACAGGAAGAGGAACAGCGAGTGACTGGGCGAGGTAAGGGGCGTGAATTGAGGGTGTGGTGTCTATGTGGAATTTGTGCCTTTGAGCTTTCCGCTGCCTGTCCGAGTTCCGACCATCTGGCAAGAGGCGGCCCGCACGGCCCTTCGTCATCGCACCAACATTACCACAACCACCACGCACCCCTCTCGCATGCTAGCCAGCACCTCATGCGCCACCCTCGCCCATAATGCTCGACACGTTTGAGATACTCACCACCTCAGGAGTTGTGTTGTGGTCCCGCACCTATGTCCCCGTCGGCACAAATGTCATCAACAGTCTGATCCGGGACGTCTTCATCGAAGAGCGCATCCAACCCCAGGCCGACGATGCCGGGTCCAAGCCGGCGTACAAAAAGGATGGCTATACCCTCAAGTGGACTGCCGCAAAGGATGTTGGCCTTATCTTTGTCGTATGTTCTGCACCATAAGAATGGCAGAGGCGAGGGCACGAAAAATGCGCCGCAGTTGCCTCTTGAACATGTCTATGTGCTAACACCCCGCATAGGCCGTATACCAGAGCCTCGTCCACCTCACATGGATAGACAAACTCCTCGACAATGTGCGCGCCCTCTTCATCGGCCTCTACGGCGACAAGCTCCAGTCGGACAGCAGTGTGGTCAACTGCGACAAGTTTGGCTCCTACTTTGATCGCCAGATGCACGAGTTGGAAGGCGCAAGCGATTCGGGCGCCCCCAGCATCAAGCTCACCACCCCAGAGTCAAGCACAGACAACGACAGTGCCGATGATACCGCGATCAAGCCGGCGGGCCTACAAAAACCCCAACGACCCTTGTACGATACCAGCGCCGATTCAACGCCAGTGCCCACCCCGGACACCTCGAGGCCTACCACTCCAGCACAGAGCCAGTTGCTCACAGGAAAAGCGAGGCCGATTGGAGGCAAAATGTCTCGGAGGGACAAGAAGAAAGCCTCGGCTTTCAGTTCTGCGCCTGTGTCGTCGGGTGACGAGGCGTCGGCAAAGAAAAAGGGGAAGGGTTCCGCAAAAAAGGGCAGGGTGTGGGGTGAGTTTGGCGCAGAGGAAGAGGACGACTCTATCCTCGAT